GTTTTAGTGCTATTTTTTTTTTCCTTTTGGAAATCTGGCAAAATAAAATAGTTGTTGTTGTCTGTTGTTTTGTTAGAATTTGAAATATTTCAGCCTAATGAAAAAGGCTAATGCGCTATCTTTATCACGTTTTACAGGTGAATAAGCTCACTACTACGACGGAAACAAATCTCAATATTTTGGACAACAAAATTGATGCCAAAACGGCCGAGCTTCTAGCAATAATTCAGGTGAGATTCGTTACATTCTTGAAACCTTAAACACTTTAAATTTAGAAACTAGTTCGATTCTGATTCTGATTGCCTTATGTGGTTGGTGTGTTGCGTTAACTTAGAGTAGATCTTCCCTTTAATAACCTTTCCTCCCTCTTTACGCTGTTTTAAAATACTGCATTTCTCTGACTACCCAATCCAAAACAGGAAATGACACCATAGAGCCACGTTCCACTGGCTACTAAAGGCTTGTACAAACGGTGCCTTTTTCTTCGCCTAAATGCTACTAAAAAGGGTTCCTTATAAAGCCATTAAAACTTATCTTTTACGTTCCTGAGAGGGCAGGTAAAGTAAAAAAGGAAAAGGCTGGCCGGAGCTTACCGCGGATTCTGTAGCGGGAAGGAACTAAGAGTATTTCTACTCCTAGTCCATCGCAGGGTTACCCCTAGCACTAAGTTCGCCGGTACCCATTTATACGCCTGGATGGAAAGAGGCACTGTAAGAGTAAAGCGTCATGCCCAAGAACACAACATAATGTCCAAGGCCAGGGCTCGAAGCCAGACCGCTTGATCCGGAGGCGAGCGCACTAACCTTGAGGCCACCACGCCTTGTGTTTAAATGGCTTTTATTCTTAAAAAGGTCATTAAAATGGTTACGTTTTTCGTCATGCCCACACCTTGGTGTGTTTCTTTTTGCAATTTTGACTTATTAGCCACATCCTACATTAGTCAGGTATCCAGTTCATCTTAAGATTGAGGAGAAGAAAATTCATTAACCCTTGGGCGCCTTCTGTCATAGATTGTCAATCAAACCATTATACCGGGTCCTCCAGGACCCCAGGGGCCACCCGGAGAAAAAGGCCCCCAGGGAGACAAGGGAGAGCAAGGGGAAAAAGGACCCAAAGGATCACCAGGCCCAAAAGGAATAAACGGGTCAATGGGCCCTATTGGTCCCAAGGGATCCCCTGGAGTCAAAGGTGAAAAGGGTGACAGCATCACCTTAAAAGGTTGCAGACACCAGAGAAAAGTCAGCGATCTAACTCGAGGAAACAACCCTAAAACTGTTTCCCTGAAGGCACCTTCCCAGGTAAGAACCTTACAGGCTTTACTACCATTCGGTAGTATGCAGTATTATCCGAGATAGGAGATAGGCGTAGTTCAGCAAGGCGAAAAAGTGTAACAAATGGTAGCTGTGATACCGGTTCACGGACGAATAGACCCTTTGCACGATCCGGTCACATGGTACGGAATTAATTACGCTGGGACGCAAGTTACACAGTGGGACTTCCAAAACAAAGGAACTCGTACCAGTCCAGCCCGAATTTCCTTTGTTTTGAATGTCCCACTGTGTAACTTCCGTCCCAGCATAATTAATTCCGTMCCATGTGACCGGGACCTGCAAAGGCCCTATTGTAACAAAATTCAATCGTCGCACCAACATTGAGCTTAGCTTTCAACAACGAATTTTTTTTTCATAAATTCACGAATCACGTACGTGTTTTAGTTGTTTTTCACGCGTTACACAGATATGTTTTTTCCCTCACCACATGTGACGCATAAACCCTTGCCACCCTCTCAAAAAAGTACGAGAAATCAAAGAAGCAGTTATCCTAAGATTTGAAATACATCTGTCATAGAAGTGTAGGTCTTCTGTGCTTTGTTTCAATAACGCTAATGGGTTTTTCTAACCAGGACGTGCTTCAGAATGTCTTGTTCTGTAAAGGTAAAACAAGCCTGAACGTTTGTTTGTAATGCCTAAAACACGATTTAAAACATCATAAGGAGAAATGAATGTTTGAAATAAGTTAAACAACTAATGGCTTAAGGATTTGCACTACGTACGGATTAGCAAGATTTAGCATTACGTACATACATCCTTTATTTTCAAATCGTCAAAATCATAGCTCACACTTAGGATTGACTTTTTCTCTTGAAGGGATATGTGATAGTAGGCGTCACATGTGCAGCAGATACAGGCGGTGTCGCCCAACTTTTCTATCTAAAAACCGATACCTCTTACAAGTGTGTCTGCACGTTTGCTCCACGATGCGTAAAACCAGCTGGGAGAAAACGGCGGGACGTCGAAAAGGAGGAAAACAGAAATCTATCACAGGAGTATGATGACAGCAAGCATAGAGGCAGGTATTCACAGGAAAAGCCAAAGGCCTGTTATCTCCATTACTGGGAATGCCCCGCCCCTTGAGGCGTCACGAAATTCAAGCACACCAATCTGACTGTTTTAGTTGTAAGTTAGATGCTTCTGGTGGAAGCTATGAAACGCGATTTACGTGTCAATGTTTTTGGTTTTGCTTTCAAGAAGTGTGCATGGTTTAATTCAAACTTTGCGTTTTGCTTTGAAACCATGGCTGATTTTATGTGATTTGTCCCTAATCGACTTTGCAAGAAAATTGTTAKACAATGTTTTTTTTTTCCATAAGAAGATCATGAACAAGAGCCGTAACTTGTCCATTTGTTTTGACTCTTTTAGAATGCTGGTGTGTAGCTGACAAAAAAAAAAGGCATCTTAATAAAGCTTATTGAAGAGAACTGAGTGTTATTTTGCCTGCCCATGTCAGAAAAATCGCAAGCATAATAGCTCACTATAATCATAAATTTGACATGGCATTTTGTCTAACAAAACAACTGAATTCGTTGAGTGAACGTTTAGGGCTTCTGCCCGTTAAACATGGGCTTCTTGGCCACACAATTGAAGTTTGAGGGATTTGACCGGTACCATAAACATTTAGAGTGGATGATTTGTTTCCCTTTACATGAGTGCTATAGCTTGTTTACTTAGTTCTGTTTTTGGTTCTTGTTCTCACAATATTTGGTTGTGTTCATGCAGTCCCCAAACCTGCCCCCTTTTGGAAAAAGGACTTTCCCTATCATTCTGATGTGATATTGACACACTAATGTAACCCAGGATAATGCATCGTTATCGTTACTCAAGTTTTTTGAGTATCGTAAAACTAAAACCAATGTAATCAGTCTAGCAAATCATAAATTACACAAACAACCCAATGAACCAATCAAAACTTGAAGTAAATACATGTAGCTGACTCGAGGAGTGAGAAAACACGTGGGAAAGAGGCTCAATTGGTTTTGGTTTCGCTCTGATGGGATAAAAAAGTGACACAAGTTTCTTAATCCAATCGTATGGCGTAGTAATGCATTACCAATTAATTTTCGATACAAGTGAAAACCGCTTGAGTCATCATGGAGCCTGGACACCACCAAGCGAAGCACAAAAAGGCGCGAAAAAGTAACTATACAGGAACGAAGACATCAGGGCAGAGAATATCTTTTAGGGCCAGGAATGCAAAATAGTACATTGGACAAAACTGTTCTGGATCGACGTTTTACAACAAAAAATAACACCAGCAAAGCGACGCAATTAACTTTGTGATTGTCTTAAACTTTATTAAATTCCACACATGGAAAGTTATTTTCATACTACATCACACAGGGAAGACTTCCGCCACAGCGAATTTGACTAATGAATCACAATCAGTCTTCCTTGCTTGACCTAGCATGAAAATAACTTTCCATGTGAGGAATTTAATAAAGTTTAAGTTCATTTGTGTCACTTTTGGCCCGTAAGTTTACAACAGTATTAAAAAGAATAAATTGAAAAGGTAGAAAGCTTAACAACAATGTGGTCCTTCAATTCAAACCAAGTTACCCCAAGCAAATAATGTCTGCTAGCACTCTACTTTAACAACACTAACTTACAAGTAAGGTAAGCTTCCGACGCTTCAATGTTTGCCGGTTTAATTTCCTCCCACCTCAACTTGCTGCCCCTAGGTCTTCGAGTATGATAGGAAGGCTTCTTTTGCAGAAGAGAAAGCTATTTAGAGACAGACTTCTTGACCACTGAACAGGCCATATTGGCATGTAGGTTAAAAACCACGATTTAACCGACGATGAAAAAGCACCTTTTGCGAAATACCTGCTGTAAATAGAACAAGAGTTTTGACAAATTGGTGAAAGTGAAGATAACCTCATGTTGTATTTTTATCAGGAATGATATATTCTGGCAATAAATTTCCCCTCAAAAAGTTTAATATCTGTACTTCAAAAGTAAATCAGATAATGCATGTTTTCCTATGCTGCTGGTACGACAAATCTTTTTCACACATTTTTCTTTTTGAAAGACTTTCAAACCTTCGGTGGGTCAATAGAAGGGGTTTGTAGTCAACATAAAATTGATTAAATGTTTAGGCAGGAACTTTAACTTAGCTCCGGGTGAAACATTTTCGTTGATTTCAGACCAGTTTAGGTCAGCGAAGCAAAACGTTTTTGAGTATTACTTTATTGATTGATCACAAAATATTAGTGTATTAGGATCTTCAGTGCCTTAAATCAAGTAGATTTTTCTTCAGAACAAGCAGGTGTTTTTCTGACAAAGCAATTTAAGATATTAAAGATGCTGAAAAAAATCAACTAATTTTGTGTGAAAGATACAAAAAACCGTATTTTTTGGCTTTTCAGACCTTGTCGATGGTAGATCAAACTTTTTTTCTGGAATTGAGTCCAAGATATTGCAATTATTTTCTTGCAAATGTTTAGTCTCCCTCTTCACGGTCAGTTCTCGTTAAATGAGATATTCTCCCCAGTTCCGGGAATAATTCTCATATCTTGAAGAGTTATTTCTTCTGATTGGCTCCTTTCCATGTTACTTCTAGGAGTTAAACATTTCCTTCAAAACATCAATGTTTCTTTGAAGCCTTGAGGAAAGCTTTGAACAAATGTCATACATATTTGGATTCAATTCATTGACGAGGATAAGTAAAGCATGATAAAAGAAATAAACCATAGCACTTTGGAAACTGAACAAGATATTGCAGTTTGCCTTCCCTCTAAGTCGTGACACAACCCAGAAGGAAGGATACAAATATAAAGTGCAGCGATGACGCAGACAGTCATCTTAATTGCTTGCTGTTTCCTCTGATATTTCTGGTGCACTCATGTACCACGAAGGGATATGATCTGTCTTGTTTTCATGCACTCTATAGTACACCCGAAATGAAAGAATAGAGTTGTCAACATATGTGGATGTAGTTTCCCCATTTCTGAGTTCCACCAAATCATAAGCATACAAGAGGAAAGTATTTAGCATTCCTGCCAAGATCCAAATGGTAGCAATAACTATGGTACGAGATCTTGACGAGACTAGATGAGCTTTCATTGGAAAGACCACCGCCACAAATCGATCAATATCGATACTGACGAGGCTTCCTGTAGAAACAGCAAACGAAACAAAATCCACGAAGCTTATCACCTTGCAGATATATCCTGTTGTACTACCTAAAGGCCACAGTGAAGAACTGGATGCAATCTTTGCCATCCTCCCAGGAATCGTTGATAATGGATATACGAAGTCAGAAACGGCCATATTGACAATAAAGTAGTTTGTCGTTCTCCTCAAGTCTTTGCACTGGTATACAGTAACGATTATGAGAGCGTTTCCAACCAAACTGAGCAATATAATAGTGGACAAAACTAGAATTAATCCGATCTTTACGGAGAAGGAATTATCTAATACATCACATGCTTTGTTGTACAAGGTAAATGTGAAATTGCTGAAATTTCCAGATGCATTGAAAGAATGAACTGTGGTATTGAACCAAAAAGAGGACATTTTAGTGGGCGCAGATCAAATTAAAATAGTTTTTATCGCGATCTGTGTTTCGTGTCAGAGATTGAATAACACTGATTTTTACCCAGGCAGTGAGGCCTGGGTTTAAATTTCGGCTCCGTTTTTTTCTTCCACGTTCAGTCACAAATCGCCGTCTGGTCTCTAAAGCGCATGCGTCAGATGTGCATGCGTACAGCTCATGAAATTTACAGAAGTTGTCATTGTGAAAAGTTAGCACGGATTCCATGATTTCTAGGGAGATGAAATCACATACAAACGAACACACCGTTCGAGGTGGACTAACACTAAAGGACGTTAAGCGTTTTCGGAACGGGTCGGTCTGCAAGCCTTACGAGAGATCAATTTACGAGCGAACATTTTGAGTGAATTTATCAAGA